GGCACATTTCACCATACATACCACAACAATACTTCATTTTAGCCATATATGTCAAAATATCGCTAAATATATCACTAAAAACTTATATATCTTATTCATTATAATGTAAACAGTTTTAGTGTGCTCAACGCAAAATTTACCAGCTGATGTGCGGTATCGCCACTCAACCTGAATGGAATAAGTATTGAATATGTTTACACGGAGTTCAGACTGTTATGTGCAATAAGTAACCCTGGAAATAACTAAATAGGTAAAAACTCTCATTTTATCACTAATTTTCGCCTGCAGCGCTTTTTTCAATAAAAATCGATACTTCGATATATAATGAAAATTGATTCTTTGACCTTTAATACCACCAGTTATTATTATTTCCACCTCAAAAAAAGAAAACCGTTATGATTAGGACTAGGACCGCTATCGATCCCAATATAATTTTTTTTTAATCAGAGAAATGTATGTATTCTGCACTTATACTTTCTCATTTCTGTGTTGCCGAAGAAGAGGGGCTGAAAAGCTTTTGCAGAGATATTTGGTGGATATTTTTTGTTTGACAGGTCAGCTCGGAAATTTGCAAAAAATACTATATTTCCAACCGACATTATTAATAAATTCGTGCACAGATATAGTAAATTTTGTTTTTATAATAAGGCGTGAATTCTTGTCTACAAGTGTTTGTAAAAGTTTTTTGATTCGAATCAGTGCAATATTTTTTGAAATATAGTTATTGTGAGATTTTAAAATTTTCAGAAACGTTATAAACCTTCCATTTAAGGAAAAAAAGTCAGGACCATACCCACTATTTCATATTTTCCGGAGTGAGAAGTCGCTATGCTACACTTTTTCCCTCATTTGTTTTTAAAAAAAAACTTTTATTCTTAAACACTTTTTATTAAAGCCTTTAAGCACGTTTTTAAAGTAGTGTGTACGGGTTATATGTGATGAGTTTTAAAGTGTACTATTTAAAGGCTTAAAGTCTAACCTGATTGTAATCCTATCCAATTTTCTTTTGTCTCTCCGTCCTTCTTGTATATTTTGGAGTTTGACAGCTGAACTTCACCATAGGCCTGGATAACGCAGCAAATTTTCGGGCGCTGCTACCATGAAGCCAGCGGCATGGCCGGTATCAGGGCATAGAATCATCGCAATTGCGCCATGTTGTTTCTTTTTGCAGAGCCAATTAAACGAGCGAAACGCAGCCAGGGAATGTTAAAAGTGAAAGTACATAACGTGCATTGCGTCGCCGTCACCGTCACCGGCAGTTTGTCAAAAAAGCTGATTCGGTGTATTTGTATGAAGTAAGTTACATGAAGACGGTGACGTTGCCGCTCAAATTAGCTCAACTCTCAAGTTTGTTTATGCGATTGCATCAAATGACAACTATTCAGTGTTTTGTTTACATGTTTGAATGTAAATTTTTCCAGTTTGTGAAAATTTTAATATTTACGGAAACACGAAATTTAAAAAATAATGGAGGAAAACCTAATGGAGGAAGTGAAAGAGTACAATGCAAATTTTGCAGAGTATCAGCGAGTTAATGATTTTTCGGGCGCAATGTCAAACGAATTGTGTGTGACTTGACGCATAAGCATCGTTCACGGTGATGTTGACGGTGGCGGTGACGCTGTCGCAATGGATGGCATGTACTTTCATTTTAATTAACAGCCAGAGCATGGAATTTAACATATTCTGATGAATATGCGAGTAATTATGTACTTTTGTACGTGTGCTATAGTAGTAGATATCAGGGTTGTTGCGAATATTCGCAACCGCGGAGCTTCCGCATTACTTTTAACATTGGCATTCGCATTCCCTTTCGCATTCGCAATAATCAATGCGGAGCTGTTGCGAATGCGAATATTTTGCAAGTGGACCGATAAAACGTATATATGGCAAAAAAATTACATATTGTAGCCAATATTTTTGCCTGTGGTCGTAGGAGTATTTGTGTAACAAAACTGGTCAAATGTCATATTTATCAACTTTGATAAAAATGTCTTTAAAATATTATTTCTTAAGCTATATAACCGAGCTATTAATGGGCAGCCATAAAAGTTCCCACTTCTACTTGACCTTTGACGTACGTCAAAGAGAACATAGTCCTTTTAATTATATATTTTTTCTGTGCTTTAAATACCTGCTTTGGCTTCTTTCTTTATTGTGATTTTTTTGGACCAATCTAAAAAAAAAGGCGTGAGTACTAGGTACTCATGAAATTTGATGTGTATACATATGCGAACGGCAAAGCATAGAAGTACGTTTACATATAAATATAATCTCAATCAAAGCTCGTTAGCTGTCAAATTGGTTGTGCGATTTATTAGGCGATTCAGTTACATACATACAAATGTTGGTTAGGTCNTCAAAGCTCGTTAGCTGTCAAATTGGTTGTGCGATTTATTAGGCGATTCAGTTACATACATACAAATGTTGGTTAGGTCAGAAATTAAACATTAATTTCACTTAATTTTATTCATTTTGCTGATTTAATTTTTTATTCATTTTCATTTTTAATTCTACATGAAATTATCGGTATGATTGATAAAATATGATACTTGTATATACTTATAGTTTGAGCATTTCTATTTGTATATATTCCTAAATTTAGTTTTAGAATCTGTCTATATAATCTGTGGTTCATGTAGGTGAGAGCGATTTTTGGGAGAGTTGTGTAGAGATTGAAGTTGCAGGATTTTACCCGATGCTTTTTTGTTCCGGTCGTTTTGATGTTACTCACTTTTTACTCTCACTTCAGAGAGTGATTTTGCTGTTTGACCTTTTTCCAGGATTTTCCACGAAACGTATTGGATCAGAGCTATTATATCATCCATGTATATGCATATTATACATACATATATTCATGTATGTTCATCAGTTATCAAGGGTCCCAGTTAAAATGATTTCAGTTTTTTTTTTAAATTTTCGCCTTGCTTTTTTATCAAAATAGACTACTAAACCTATGCCTAAAACCATCTACGAATATCAAAACCATGGCATGAATCACGTATGACGACAATCGTCTGAACGATATCGGGTCGAGATTGTCTTGCTTCATAAAAATCAAAAATTGTTTGATCGTTTGTGCGATATCGTCAACTCGATTCCAGTTTTGCTTCACGTAACAGTAACACGTAACAGCAACACAAATGCAAAAATCAGTGTTTTGACAACATCGTTTTGTCAGTATCGTTGAACGACTATCGTTTCAAAGTTACGTGATTCATGCCCAGTTGCAACAAATGAGTCCATACATATTTATGTACATACATAGGTACAAAGCCGTATGCATGTGCGGAGTTTAAATAATCGGAAGTAATTCGCATTTCCTCTTACTATGCATATGCCGAAATGTATGCAACCAGCAGAAGTGTGAAGCAGAATTACTGAAATTGCGTGCTGAAATCGAGAAAGTTCAAACACAAAGAATTTCTCCCGACGTGTCTGCTGACGCGGTTGTTTTTGGCATACCGTATACCGAAGAAGAAAACTTAAACAGTACGTTTAACCGTGTGTGTCTCTCTATTGATTTTAATGCTCCGCAAATTCGGGATATTTTTCGTACTAAGGCTACCAATAATAATCAGTGCGGTGCGGTTATCATTAAGTTCCATTCACCACTGGACCGCAACAGAACACTTCGCGCATTTAGTGACTACAGGAAAAAAACTAAGGCTGTAGTCTCTGTTTCTGTTGCAGGCTTCGAAGGGAAATTTTCTATTTTTGAGAGTTTGACCACAGAAACGAGGAAATTACTGCACGAGGCCATACGATTGAAAAGAGCGGGGAAGCTGCTGTCTGTATTTACGTTGCGAGGTGCTGTCTATGTCAGAGTTGACAAAGGTTCGTCAGCTATTAAAATTGATGAACGTAATGACTTGCAAAGGTTTTCTTGCTGTATTCTTTTTCTTTTATTCTATATTCTTTATTCTTAGTTTATGTTTAATGTTTTGCTAGCATTTGTAAAGATGGTTCATAGTGTTATTGCGCTTTTTACTATATTTATTAGTTCTTATTCATACCTTGAAGTTGCTTTTGTTCACTTGCTTTATGGTGTCTAACAGCAAGATCAATAGCATTGATGATAATAGTCGCATTATGTTAAATGTTCTATGTAATCAACAGATAGGGCTTAATATCGTCCATTTCAATGCTAGAAGCTTAAACAACATAAAAATGGATTATGTTAGATATGTGTTTACGTGCTCTGCAGTTGATGTTATCTGTGTTTCCGAAACATGGTTTCCACTTGATGTTAGTGATGTTCATTTTAATATAAATAATTATAAGATTATTCGAAAGGATCGTGTCGGTAAAAAGGGTGGTGGCGTTGCTATTTATTGTAAGACCCACATCAATATGAAACTTGTCGGCGAGTCGGATAATGGAGGGGTTGAATATTTACTTGTTGAGTTGTCTGATCGTGTGAAAAAGTGCCTTGTTTCATGCGTGTATAACCCTAATAAATTTGTCAGTATAAGTCCTTTGTTTGATAAGTTGTCCAATATTGCTGTCGACTACGAGAATATTATACTTTGCGGTGATNATAGGTACAAAGCCGTATGCATGTGCGGAGTTTAAATAATCGGAAGTAATTCGCATTTCCTCTTACTATGCATATGCCGAAATGTATGCAACCAGCAGAAGTGTGAAGCAGAATTACTGAAATTGCGTGCTGAAATCGAGAAAGTTCAAACACAAAGAATTTCTCCCGACGTGTCTGCTGACGCGGTTGTTTTTGGCATACCGTATACCGAAGAAGAAAACTTAAAGAGTACGTTTAACCGTGTGTGTCTCTCTATTGATTTNGCTGGAAGCGAAAGAGCAGAAGTGTGAAGCAGAATTACTGAAATTGCGTGCTGAAATCGAGAAAGTTCAAACACAAAGAATTTCTCCCGACGTGTCTGCTGACGCGGTTGTTTTTGGCATACCGTATACCGAAGAAGAAAACTTAAACAGTACGTTTAACCGTGTGTGTCTCTCTATTGATTTTCATGCTCCGCAAATTCGGGATATTTTTCGAACTAAAGCTACCAATAATTATCAGAGCGGTGTGGTTATCATTAAATTCCATTCTCCACTGGACCGCAACAGAACACTTCGCGCATTTAGTGACTACAGGAAAAAAACTAAGGCTGTAGTCTCTGTTTCTGTTGCAGGCTTCGAAGGGAAATTTTCTATTTTTGAGAGTTTGACCACAGAAACGAGGAAATTACTGCACGAGGCCATACGATTGAAAAGAGCGGGGAAGCTGCTGTCTGTATTTACGTTGCGAGGTGCTGTCTATGTCAGAGTTGACAAAGGTTCGTCAGCTATTAAAATTGATGAACGTAATGACTTGCAGAGGTTTTCTTGCTAATCTGTGTTCTTTTTCTTTTATTCTATATTCTTTTATTCTTAGCTTAAGTATGTTTAGTGTTTTGCTAGCATTTGTAAAGATGGTTCATAGTGTTATTGCGCTTTTTACTATATTTATTAGTTCTTATTCATACCTTGAAGTTGCTTTTGTTCACTTGCTTTATGGTGTCTAACAGCAAGATCAATAGCATTGATGATAATAGTCGCATTATGTTAAATGTTCTATGTAATCAACAGATAGGGCTTAACATCGTCCATTTCAATGTTAGAAGCTTAAACAACATAAAAATGGATTATGTTAGATATGTGTTTACGTCCTCTGCAGTTGATGTTATCTGTGTTTCCGAAACATGGTTTCCACTTGATGTTAGTGATGTTCATTTTAATATAAATAATTATAAGATTATTCGAAAGGATCGTGTCGGTAAAAAGGGTGGTGGCGTTGCTATTTATTGTAAGACCCACATCAATATGAAACTTGTCGGCGAGTCGGATAATGGAGGGGTTGAATATTTACTTGTTGAGTTGTCTGATCGTGTGAAAAAGTGCCTTGTTTCATGCGTGTATAACCCTAATAAATTTGTCAGTATAAGTCCTTTGTTTGATAAGTTGTCCAACATTGCTGTCGACTACGAGAATATTATACTTTGCGGTGACTTTAATATCAATCTCCTTGCTGGTGATTCATTTTGTTCTTCGTTGCTTGATAATGTTGCAAGCTTAGGTCTTTCGGCTGTTAACATCTCAATGCCAACTAGGTACTGTCATAATTCTAGTCCCAGTCTTCTTGACTATTTTATTGTTTCTGACCGTTCTTCTGTATTAAAATTTGACCAAATTTCTTTTGTCTCTGATCACGACTTGATTTTCTGTTCTCTTGATATTAATTTTAATGGTGTAAGAGAAGAGAAACTGTATGTATATCGAGACTTCCGATCGATTGATTTGGATGCTTTGTATCGTGAACTGGACAATGTAAACTGGTATGACTGTTGGTATTTCGAATCCGTGAATGAAAAACTTGAACATCTAAACAACAAATTATTATCTGCGTATAATACTTATGTTCCATTACGCTATAAAAAAACTACCACATGCCATTGGTTTAATGGTAAAGTGCGGGAAGCCATCAAGTCCCGTACTAAGGCTTACCGCACTTGGAAGAGAAACCGTACAACAGCTAGCTGGGATGCTTTCCGCGTAGCTAGAAATAAAGCCACCTTGGTAGTTTAGGCAGAAAAGCGAAAATACTTTGCAGTCAAACTTGATCCTTCTCTCCCCTCTGGTAAATTATGGCGGAACATTAAAAATCTGCAGGTACAGGCCAAGGACAGAACTGAGTGTATGTTAGATGTTGAAAGTCTGAATGATGTGTTTCTTTGTAGTGCCTTGTATGTCACAATTCGCCCCAAATCCTACGTCAATTACGTATTTGAGCGTACCTAGATGCATCCTCAAAATTAACTCAAATGCGGTTGGCGAGGATGGTCTGCCAATTCGATTTATTAAGTTAGTTATGCCGTTCATCATAAGTCCACTGACACACATCATTAACCACTGTTTTACCACGTCTTGTTTTCCAAAGTTATGGAAATCCGCTTCCATTTGTCCAGTTGCTAAAATCAAACAAGCATGCTCACCTTGTGATTTTCGTCCAATTAGTGTTTTGCCTGCCTTGAGTCCCTAATGTCAGAGCAAATCATGTCAGATATGTCCGAAAAGAACTTGTTATCTCCTTTTCAATCAGGTTTTAGAGCAGGGCATGGTTGTTCAACTGCGATAGTAAAAATTCTTGACGATTGGCGAATTCCCTTTGATAATAATGATGTTTCCCTCCTGTGCTTGCTTGACTTTTCCAAAGCATTTGACTCCGTAGATCACACACTGCTCTTCTCTAAGCTTTCATATTATTTCGGGTTCGGTAAAACTGCACTATCTCTTATGAAAAGCTACCTAACTAACTAAGTCCGTAACACGCGGTGTTCCTCAGGGATCTATTTTGGGCCCCTTGTTATTTAGTGCTTTCATAAATGACATATTCATGACATGCCAATATGTAAAAATGCATGCATATGCCGATGACATCCAGATATATTTATCGGGTCCGTCAAGAGATTTGCACAGACTCACATCTGATTTGAATATGGACTTATCATCTATCTCGCATTGGGCTGCTCTTAACGGCCTTTGCGAAGTCGTATATTCTACCTGTTTTTAAGACAAAAGTCCCTTTTAGCAGTATTCCTTCAGTTTTTCTTGAAACCAGTCCCCTAAAATTAATTGATGAAGTAACCAATTTGGGGTTTGTTATCAATTCTAGCCTTAGCGGCGTTGATCACGTTAATTCTGTTGTGAACAAAGTATATGGTATTCTAAGAAAACTAAGGCAATCGGCATCGTTTGTTCCGATTCCCACTAGAAGAAAGCTTGCGCGTCAATTAATCTTACCTATTATTACTTATGCTGAGGTGGTATAAAGTAAGCTTGACTCCAGGTCATCCCATAAGATTGACACCTTATTTAACCAAATCACACTTTATGTATATGGATTGCGGAAGTTTGCCATATTTCTGCGTGGAGATGTAGCTTGTTAGGATGTAATATCACTGATTCAGCACAAAGACCCCTCTTTATCTTTATGAGAAATTAATTTTTCCAAAGTCTGAGCGTTCCTGTGATCTAATGGTGCCTTTCTTTAAATTTAAGACCTCTACTAGACTATTTTTCATTAATGCTATACGAATCTGGAACTCAATTCCCGCTGCAATTAGAAGCAAGATCAATAAAAGCAACTTCAAAAACATTCTATATAGCTACTTTTGTAACAATTGATGAACCATCTAATATTTAAAGTTAATCTCTGTTAACCTATGAATATATGATTTATGATTTAATTAATTATATGTATTAATGTATGTGTTTGTATTGAATCTATTTGTTGTACTATAAAAGATCTTGGTCTTACTGTACTAATATTTAATATTGAAATAAATTGAAATTGAAATTGAAATTTACAATAGCAAGCAAACACAGGGTGCTTCTAATGAAAATAAAAAAGTCGGGAGTACTAGGTACTCATGAAATTTGGTGTGTAGACATAGGCGAACGGCAAAGCATATATGTACGTTTATTTTTTAAAAATTTTATTAAAAATACCTTTACAAACCTCTTTTCCTTGCTAGCGTCAATTTCTGTTTACTTTAACATTTGGCATAAACCTGGGTTGGACACCAAAAAGTTATCGGTTTAATCTGAGATTATTTTATAATTATAATTTTGTATGGCTAATCTCTTTTTCTAATTACAGATTAGGGAGTGAAGCTCGAAAATGAGGATAATATTTTTATAGGTAAACCTATTAGGCGAATCAGTTACATAGATACATGCACATAGTTTTAGTCATTTTGCTGATTCCTAAATTTAGTTTTTCTTCTAGGAATATGATCTGTGGTTCTGCTTCATCTGTCGCTAGGTCTACGTTAAAGTCATGAATACATATTGCATACCATCGTTTGTTTGCAAGNTGAGGATAATATTTTTATAGGTAAACCTATTAGGCGAATCAGTTACATAGATACATGCACATAGTTTTAGTCATTTTGCTGATTCCTAAATTTAGTTTTTCTTCTAGGAATATGATCTGTGGTTCTGCTTCATCTGTCGCTAGGTCTACGTTAAAGTCATGAATACATATTGCATACCATCGTTTGTTTGCAAGATGGGAATCTAAATTCATTTGTTCGGCATTTCCTCTTACTCTCGTCTTCTCTTTGTGCAATCGTGTATTAACTCGGATCCAGTACTCAATGAACTTACAGGTTTTTACATGAACCTGCACGAAGTTACAGGAAAAACGATCCCGTACTCCAAAATCATGTAAATGAGAGGGATTTTTTGAGAGTCTTGAAGATAATCAAGTTGTAAGATTTTACCCGATGCTTTTTTGTTGCAGTACTTTTTGCTGTTACTCACTTTTTACTCTCACTTCAGAAAGTGATTTTGCTGTTTGACATTTTTACAGGATTTTAAACGAAAAGTATCTACTGGATTAGGGTTATTATATCATCCATACGTATGTATATTATACATATATTCACGTTTGTTCATCAGTTATCAACTGTCCCAGTTAAAATGATTTCAGTATTTTTTTAAATTTCCGCCTTGTGTTTTTATCAATAGACTACTAAACCTGTGCCTAAAACCATTTACGAATATCAAAACCAGTTGCAAAAAATGAGTTCAGACATATGTATGTATATATATAGGACATATGTATATTATAGGCACAAAGCCATATGCATGGACATAGCTTGCGGAAGTAATAATCAATTGTACCGCATTTCATCTTACTCTGCATATGCCTAAATGAATGCAGCCATTTGCAATAGCAACTACACACAGGGTGCCTCTAATGAAAACAAAAATTTTCTGCTGCAATACACATGCTACGCCCTTCGAAATTTTCTGCTGGGCTATGCGTTACAGCTTCGCAAATTTTACCCCTACCGAAACCAAAGATGTATACACATCGAAAAAACTACTAGACATAAAAGAAGAAAGTGCGCACTGTAATTCTTAACAACATTTTCGTGATTTGCGTTTGGTGTTATAGGCGGCATACACGGTGCGTCTGACTCGTGAGTCAGTTTGGATGTGTTTGTGAAAATAAAAATGTGTTAGTTACACCAACATCCCAGTAGAACTTGGGAGCATCGTACGATTGCTCGGTGAGTACTCCCGTGGGAGTATACGAATACTTCCCATTGCTCCCTACGCTTCTGTCTATAAGCATGTAATTTTGTATACTCCCTTTAACATTGGATGTCCTAGGAGGGGGAGTAATCCCTTTTACCTCCTAAACGAGCAATCGGGGAGCACACACAGAATTATCATCCCACAAACCTTAGAAACCATCCCATATTCCTCCCGAACGAGCAATAAGAGAGTGCTCCCATTAGAGGCATCCCTAAAGCCTCCTATAGGAGTAATAAGACAGCAGTGATAATGAACATTTTAATTTAGCCAAATAGATTTTGCTATTTATTAAATTTTTTATTTAACTTTTTAATCACGCGCGTTTGTGCAATTTTACAAGATCTTAACAGATAAAAGTACGAGATCAGATACAAACATAAATGATACGTCTTACATAATTGCTTAATTTTAGAATTATATTGCAGAGAAATCATATGAAAGTAAAACATAATAATAACAAAACGGTAAGATAAGATTTGAATTATATGCACCTAAATGAACATATAAGTATGTACCCGTATATGATTTCCTGGGTGTCAAGGATGCTTGCCTATTCAGGAATCCACCAAGCGGGGAAATTGCGAAGGTGACTTTGCTTATCTGACATCTTTGTCACCCGTGCGATGTTTAAACCCGGGGGTCACACTTAAATGCAAACACTAATTTGTGCCATCTGAAAAGTATTTAACGGTATATTTATAAGTAATACAATACTTAATATATTTAAACAAAAGTTGAGGTACATACCAACGGACTTTTATTAAAATCTCTGTGCTATCCAAATTAGATTATTGTGTCCTCCCTATGCGTCTATAAGAAATATTTTCTGTTGGTTTTTTTTCTATGATACATTTTTCCGAAAACACAAAATTTCTTTTGATCGAGGTGCGTATTGCTCTCCTATCAATCAAAAAGAATACTCTTGGATTTCTCGCTTAGGAGACATCACTTTTTAATCCTAAACGAGTAATAACGGAGTACAAAACCGACAAATCTCGCTTATTGCTCCCAAATCATGCCTCAGGAAGCATTCTTTAATTGCTCGCTTAGGAGATCTCTCATTACGCTCCTAAGCAAGCAACACAGGAGGACAAAACCGACAAATCTCGTTTATTGGTCCCAAATCATGCCTCAGGGAGTATTATTACGTCGCTCGCTTAGGAGATCTCCTATTTGATTCCTAAACGAGTAATAAAGGAGTACAAAACCGACAAATCTCCCTTATTGGTCAGAAATCAGGTTAAGGGCAGTAATCTTTTATTCCTCACATAGGGAGATCTTCCTTCAAGTTCTAGTGGGATGACTCCCGGCATGACTCTGAATGATTCAACTGTGTGTAGTCGAAGGCGAGTCAACACGTACACAAATGACTCGCGACTCAGACTTACCGCGTATGCCACCATTACATTTATTCGTTTGAATAATTTCAAATGGGGCCCTTTGGGGAATTTATTTTTAGCAAAAATTAAAAAAACAGTAGTATTGTTTACTTGTTGCAAAATATTTTTTCCATAGGGATATACATTGGATCCTTGCTAAACATTTCGGTGGTATAACTGTCCCTTCTTTGCTATTTAAAGTCAATGAGTAAGCACCTTCAATAGGGATTTTCAGTAGAAATGATCAACGTCTAGCTATAAAGAGAATCGATGCTCAAATAATTAAACAGCTATAGGTCTGACCTTTACTTA